GAAAGAATAGTATTTAATTCCTGTGTGAGAGATTTTGATTGTGTCTGTCTTGGCCTTTTATAATTTCAAGATGTTAATGTTTTCAATAAATGGTATAGGTATTTTATATACATAAGTTTAGTGGGGGGTTTTTTTGGTGTTTGTTTTTTTTTTTGTTTTGTTTTGTTTTTGGGGTTTTTTTTACATTGCACAGTAAAATTAAGTCCCAGATTCCAGTGCATTTACGTTTCCACTCTTTTGGCCCTCAATATTACTAGATGTTGAACATGGCTCTAAAACAGTTTCTAATATGTCTTGGAGGATTCTTCTAAAAAGAGGTTGCAGAAGATGTCTGATTATTGTCATTGCTTCCAAGAAAAATGGTTATACTTCACTGAAGAATCTGTCAAATCAAAGGCTATAAAGGGTGCTATCGTGGTGTATGTTAACTTGTATTATTAATGGTGCAAGTGTAACTTAGATGACATTTCACTAATCACAAAACATTCATTATTTGCTAATTACAAGTAGCACGTTCTTAACAGGCTGATATTTTTAATTAGAACTTATATACTAGGATTTGACTTAGTTTTGGGGTTTTTTAAAATGTTTGTAAGTTGGACAGTGCCCTCTGCTGGACTTACGCTCCCATAGCAGTAGTTTGCGAAGTGTCCCAAATGATGTCAATTAGTGAAAATGAACACAGTGTTGCTCTGCAGAAGGGATTTGCTGGTTTCGAGGAAGTACACTCTGTTTTAGTCCCTTCTTGCATTCTGCTCTACGTGGAAGCACATTGTGCAACAAAAATTGGTCTCATTTTAGACGGCAAAGAGCTTTTGACTTATTTAATTTGAACCCTGTTGACTAGGGCTGACAGTGAGACTTTATCACAACGAGCAGCAGTGCTATATATTCCATTTTTTGCAAAAATAAACTCAATACAGAGCATATTCATAATAATAATGCTCAACAAGAGCATATTCATCTTCAGAAATAAGTGTGATGGAAAAATAGGCAGTTGAACTTACTTTTTGTGTCTTTAAGACTTGCATATCTTTATTGCATTATTTCGCAGTTTAAAAAGTTATACTGAGAAGTCAAAAGTGTAATTTTTCTCTTTATCTCTAAGGTATTTGGATTATTTTGGGGGGAGTTATTTGTTTCTTTTTGAGGGGGTTGCTAATAAAAATAGAAACACTGTCAGTTTCACTTAATAATTCTAATCTCATGCCTTTGCACTTTTCCAGGGTTCATTAAACAAAAACAACAACAAACAAAAATGAAAACAAAAGCAAAAACCAAACAAAAAACAAATCAAAACCAAACAGAAACAAACTGAAAACCCAACCCACAAAAAAACCCAAACAAAACCTCACAACAACTAAGAAAAACCTCACAAACAAACAAAACCAAAACAAAGCCATTTATGAAGGATGTAACTTGAATTTACAATATCTCATAACGAAGAGGACAGAGAGAGATGAACTTTCCTTATAATTTAGTTGAAAACGTTTAGTGAATTTACAATATGAATTTAAAATCCTTCAAAGATAGACTATAAAACAGAAATAATTCAGTATTTACAGGAAAATTGAAATTAGTAGCATAGAAAGCATTACATATCCATTTATGAAACTTTTATGGTTTTTAAATCACTTCTCTAGTTTTTCTCAACACAGAAAACACGTGGAATTAAAAGTTGTATAGGGTTAGCTGTGAGTGATTTCTATTAATTGACCATCAAGTTGTTTTATACAGTAGCTTAAAGATGGTGCAAAGCAGCTCTTATGTTTGTTATGTGTTGCATGTTAAAAATCTGCAGACTTCTTAAAAGCAGATTGCCCGTGCAGAGCAGCTGCTCTGTGTCAAAATATGCATCCTCCCTCTGCTCACTTCAGAGGTGCACTTCTAGGGAAAAATGCAGCAGTAAAATTCATTCACTCTCATGAAGGCAGCTCTGGAGTAGAGACGGAGATGTGCTCCCAGAATACTCTGTCCACTCATAATATTGCCCTTCAGTCAGCCTTTATTTACATATGCCTGCAGCTGTGAACCTCTTTGCTTCACCAAGTGAGCTCCATGCCCTCTGCAAAGAGCTGTGAGCTCCGGAGTGACAGACCTCCTCATTAATGGTCACAGTTGGTCATTAGCTGGTCACTGAATCTTTCTTGATGACCTGCTAATGAACTCCCCACTGGCTTGTTGAGAAGATTGGTCAAGGTAGACAGTACAGGTAATTTATAGCTGAACCCCCGGCAGGCAAACGGCCTCCACTGAGTAACTGCAATCAACACAGTACTACTGAGGCATTACATTCTTCCTAATTTATTTCTCAGTTGTAACTATTTCATGTCGAAAGGAAGCTTTTGATTCTATGTTGAAAAATACGTTTGAATATTTTATTTTGGGGGGTGAGGATTTTCTTCAATAATTTAATAGGGAAAACAACCTTAATCTTACAAACACTTTTTATTTTTTACGTATTTTTGCCCTTGACAGAGCATGTTTTCTTAAAAAAACACACTTCTATGTACATGAATATTTGCCTGTAAAAGGCCCAGAAGCCCTCTCGGTGCAAAAATTAGTTCTCAAGTGGTACCTGTTAGATGCAGGAGCCTGGAGAGCTTTGATGGTTCTGCACCTGTGGTGTCTAATCTCTTTGAATCATGGATAAATTGGCCAGAAGCTACACTCCCTCTAGCTATGATCTTGCCAGCTCTAAAAAGCTATAGTTTCAGCCGGGCTCTGGCTTGGTAGGAAAGCTCTGGAAAAAGCCCAAGAAGTGGCAATGATGCATTAGGTAGCACTCTTCCCTCTAAGACTGGTAGATAACGTCATAGCGGTTATCCAATTATCACAGGACCCTGCTTTGGCTTTAGATGCGCAGGTACCTATCCCCATTTTGAGAGTGAACAGATTCCACAGGGGCCAAGACATTCGTAGTCCTTTAAGGTTTTATATTTCCATTTTCATTAGTTCAAGTATCATAATTTTGATGCAAACAAACAAACAGCTAGTATATATCTGCAATGAAATTGCCACAAGAAACTGGGTTTGCATGTCCTGGGCAAGGAAATTTATCATGTTCCATTACAGTTTTTCATGCACTTGACCCACATTAAGCGGTGTCCTGATGCTCATCTCATTTCCTGCAAATGGCTTCAAGATTGTAAAAATCTTTCCCCCAGTGCTTCCAAATGGCACTTCTTGAGCTGTGTAGAGATTAAGGAGTTGAGTTTCCAGGGAGGTGTCCTGACCATTGCTCCCTGGGGTGTGGAAATAGGAGCTATGGTTGTCTTTAGAAAGACAGTTTTTGCCCTCTCACTGAAGATACTCATCTCACATTTGGTAACTTAGCTCTAAATTGTATGAGATTATAAAAATTTCTCATTATTCAGAGATCCTATTTCATACTCTTTGATTACAAATGAGAGCCTTCTCTCCATTCTGGTTTCAAGTACTGGGATACTTCTGTTTCCTTAGCAGGCACTGCTGACAAAGCATGTGGCTCCAACCAAAAGTTTGTGAAATGACTAAAAGCAACTGAGTTCCTAAAGAGCTTATGAAAGCAGCACAGATGTTACTTTCTTGATGTTGCCCATCTTGAACACAAACATTTAATTCTGCACCTTTTATGTGAGAATTCAAGGCAGAGGAGTCAGATGCTTTTACAGAAAACCATAAATTGTTTCAGATAAATAAGACATGTATTTAATAATTGCTCATCTTCTTGTTATGTAGCATCCTGCATTTGTTTTCATGCTAAAAAGTAAATAAGATGTTCAAATATTAATGTCATATGTTTGAGAAGGACCAGGTCATGACACAAAGCAGTGTATTTTTTAAGGAAATTTATTGAACCCAGTTGGACTTATGGCATCTTGATACAGAATGAAGTAGTGCTAACAATGTTTTATTCTTATTTTTTATCCAGGAGCTATGAACAGTGAGCTTTAAAATCCTCAAATCAAAAACTGAAAGTGTAAATAAAAAGTGAATTTGTTCTCAGCAGTAATACAAACTCCATTAAAATACTCTCCTTGGCAGAGGGGGTGGGAGGGTGGCAGAAAACACTCCTTAAATCACACTTCCTTAAATCAGTGTGTAATTATCCACTAAAGGAATGCATATAGCAATTTAGAAGAGCTGATGCCTGTTGAGACAAATATCTTTAGAGCACTGAATGGGAAATCTTTAACTATGTGTCTGTCCTCTCTTTTTATCCACACAAAATGTGTGCAAAGTACTGTTTTGATTCCTGTATGGGCTCTGGATCATCCCAAAGCCAAGTGGTGCAAACATAACGTAGGACACAATGAAAATAAACCAAAGTGAAGGCATATTACATTTTTTAATTTTCACTATAATGATTAAATCAGTAATGCTGAACATATATAGAATTTCTGCTCCTTGCTGCATATACCTAATGGTTATCCCCATTCTTAATGTGAGACGTGTCCCACAATGTACAGAATGAGTTTACCTGTGCATTTTTCAAGTGTCAGTGTTTAATACTTTCCTGCTAAGATAGTTTAGCAATGAGCACACATCTTTCTACTGGATGGCCCTTGGGAATGGTACTCTACAGGAATATACCAGCCTCACTACAGAAACCACTGCAAAGCTGAACTAACACAATATGATTGCAGGTCTATTTTACCTAACCTTTATCTTTTTCAGATGAAACATGGAAATGTTTTGTTAAGACTTAACAAACTTAACTTTTGTTAAGCTAAAACATGGTTAGGCTGGCTCCTTTTGGAAAAACATAATCTTTGATTTCCATACCAAGAAGAAAACTTAGTGAAAGTATAAAAAATTTAATCCTGTTCTTATGTATAATTTCATTTTTATTGTATTTATTTTCAGAAAATGTATTGAAGCTAGTGTCAAGACAAGTAGATATTTTGGAAATTTTCTACTAATATTTTTTTAATCAATTAAAGCAACTGATTCAAAAATTACACTTTTTTTTTTTACAGATTTAGAAGTAACGTATTTTCTTATATTCTTTGTAACAGGTGGTTCTGCTAATCTAACCTGCCGAGCTTTCTTTGGATATAGTGGAGATGTCAGTCCTTTGATCTACTGGATGAAAGGAGAGAAGTTTATTGAAGATTTAGATGATAGTCGAGTCTGGGAAAGTGACATTAGGTAAAAGAAAAAGCTTTTTTTTTACTCTATATTTTTTTGATACTTAATGTAATACTTTTTATCACAGACTAACTCAGGGGCACTTTGGGTCTAATCCCTTTTTTGCAACATCCATTCTTTACCTTTTTGTCTCCACAAGTAGAGAACAAAAAAATGCACTGCTCAGCCAGATCTGATGTTAGAGAGCTGCAAAAGCAGAATAGCTGCCCCAAAAAATGTTGTAGTGTTGACCAACAGGAATTTACATACTGACTTTTTCAAATTGTGACAGTCTACAATAACAACCGTTAAGACATTTAGTAAGATGAAATAAAGAAGAATAAATACATCAAGAAAAACAGCTCAAAAAGGTATTTTCAAGCATGGAGCCTTAAAGAAATGCTGAAGTCTGACTTCCCTTTTGGAAAGTTTTGGTTTATTTTCTTCATGAAAGCAAACTGATTTTTGAGGGATGTTATCTGGCCTGTGAGAGCCAGACCTCCTGTTATGTGGGCTGATTATATCTGCTGAAATACTGGCATTTGTGTCTTGTACTTCTACTGCTCTTAGAAGTGCTATCTTGTTTGGAAATTAAGGAAAAAAGTGGGTTTGTATTGAGAATTAAATGTTTGACATGGCATACCAACTCCTATCTAATACGAAGCACCTGCTTGTATCTGAAGGGAATTTTTTTTCATTTACAATTCTGTATGCATGTTTATCACTGAGTTTATCATGAATAAACCCAGAAATAAAGGGAAATCTAAATATGCATGTCATAGTTTAACCTTAGACAGCAACTTAGCATCACATAGCTGCTCACCCACTCCCCTGTAATCCCCCTCGGGTGGGGCGAAGAATCAGAATAAAAGTAAAACTTGTGGGTTTAGATAAGAACAATTTATAAATTGAGACAAAATAAAAGGATATAATAATATCAATAATATTCATTATAATAATAAATATATGTTATTAATAATAATTGTAATGAAAATGAGAGATAGATGAATAAAACCTGAGAAAGACAACACAATTGCTTACCACCCACTGCTCAATGCCCAGCCTGTCCCCAGGCAGTGATCCATGGCTCCTGGCCAACTCCTCTCAGTTCATATACTACGCATGACGTTCTATGATATGGAATATCCCTCTTCCCAGTTCAGGTCACCTGTCCTGGCTATGTTCCCTCAAAGCTTTTTGTGCATCTGCTCACTGGCAGAGAGTGATACACTGAAAGTGATACACTGACTTAGGGTAAGCACTGCTCAGCAAGAACTAAAACATTGGTGTGTAATCAACATTATTCTCATGTTGAATCCAAAACACTACACTGTACCAGCTAGTGAGAAAAAAACTAGCTCTATCCCAGAAAACCGGGACAGGAAACTCAGAAATCATGGATGTGTTATCTACAGTGATCTATAAGAGAACAAAAATAGCCTATTTTACTTCACTTACCTGGATATTTACAGTGCCATCAAAAGACATGAAGTCAGGCTCATTTTCAGCCAAACATTGGACTTCAGTGTAACCAAAATAGCAAAATCAAAAAGACCACCTAGATACTCAAGGTCATCGTTGCCAGAGATAGGCAAAATGGAAGCGCATTTCACCCCTGTGTATTTCAAGGTCAAGACCAATACACTAAATGGCACATGACACTCAGATCAGATGTATTTGGCATCTAAAGCTTTTCCCAAGTCCCTCTACCAGTAACTTGGCTTTCTGATGATGAACAAAAAGGTGAAAAGAACCCTGTTACAACTTTCTTGTTTTGTGGAGGGAGGAGCAGAAAGGCTGGTTTCCACTTCTTATGTCAGGTGGGACATGAGGGAGCAGCCTGGAAAAATTTGTCATTTGCTTTCCTGGGTTCTTAAAATCACTGACAGTCTTGCTAAGAAGGAAAGAAAGTAACGTGAAGACAGGTGGAATCTTACACAGGAAACCTTTCATTTATCATCTGTATGAACTAGAGGAGGCATCTGGCATACCAGTTCTTTCTATTGTTTTATAATACATAATCAAATCTTATAACGCATTCTAGAAATAATGTCTCAGACCATGGCAGGAACACATTGTTTCTGAGTAGCATGTTGAAAAGCCTTAGAAAGAGCACAAACACTGTGTTTGGCCCAGACTCCTAGTGTGACTCTAAACCCCAAAACAACAGTTTTCCCTTTTCTCTCTTCTAACATTCCAAGACTTCATGGATCAGGGTCTCCATCAGAGTGTGCAATGATATATTATCAGTGTGCATTATCATTCTGCTTAAAGGAGACAATGAACTGAAGCTCTCATTAACATTTACAGAACCAAACCTCCTCATTAGAAGTGAGGAAGAAAAAGGCATGATATAATTTGATTAAGATTGCATCAAACCATAGCCAAATTTGAAGACAGAGAGTCTGAAGTTGTAAGCAGCATTATTATGTCATGATTACCCAGTGCTCCACTATAATACAAGCAGAATAGCAGCGATGGTTGCTCTTTGTTGTTTTGTTTTTTTCTCAGGGTTCTCAAGGAACATCTTGGGGAGCAGGAGGTTTCCATCTCATTGATTCTTGACTCTGTTGAAGAGGCAGACCTAGGGAATTATTCATGCTACGTCGAGAATGGCAATGGGCGCCGGCATGCCAGCATTCTTCTACACAAAAGGGGTAAATATGCAGTTTTCCTCCATAAAAGGATAAAACGTAAGGTAGATCAATTTGTAGACCTTCTTTTTGATGCAAGCGTGAATTTTGGCTTCCTAAGAACTAATATTCCATTATTATTTTCCTCTAGGAATTTGTACAACTTGAAAAATAAAACAGAAAGGGTGTTGTGCTGCCACTGGAAAAAATACAGTACAATCTTTTAATTATATCTGTATTAAAAATGCATTTAAAAATTTCTTAGTTTTTAACTTAATAAAGGCTAAATAGAGAAAAATAGTAGGAAACAACAGCTAATAGAACTGTAACAATTTTCTGTAAGAAATAATATTAAATATTTGAAAAACCAACAAAAATACATTCCAATTCTATCAGAAATGCCACCTAAACCCCTTGCCAGGAGAGTTCCTTCATTGCCAAACTGTGAACATTTTCCGTCTAACACTTTCGTTTAACATCAGCATTTCTGAAGTAAAACATCATGACAGAAGCTGCTAAGGACCTTCCTGTTTCCCCTCACCACTCACATCCCATGATTCCACCCTGTCTGATAGCCACAGCCGTCTCCCGCGGAGATGATTACAGAGAGATGGAGAAACTCTTGCAAATCAAGGCTCCCAGACACATTTTGTCCACTTTACCTCTCAGAGGGTTCTCCACGTGCCTGGGATTGACACTCCCCAAGCCGCCTCCCACTCAAGCCGCCTCCCACTGGCCTGAGAGAGCAAAGAATGAGCAGGAGCTGTGTGTGCACTTTGCTGTCATTACTGTGCTTTTTTTAGACAGTTTGTAAAGGTGAGCAAACCAGGTTCTTACTGTGGTGCTGAAGCACTTTTGGCATCTGAATTTGTATCACAGCAGCAATGTCTAAGTTTAGAAGGAAACCATAAATCAAGCTAGTGTGACCAAATTATTTAAATACATTGTACCTCCAATTAATTAAACTAATTTGTAGCCATTTTTCTGAACTTGTCATTGGTTCTTAAAAGACGCAGATGTGAATAACCAGATGTTCAAATAGCCCGGCATTTGTCGTATTTTCTTGAAATCACTGAGGTAAGAAATTATCATATTAAGTAATTGAACCTCAACAATATGCCAGTTAGTAGTCATATACTCCTAGTTCAGAGATGTTTGAACCCAGAGCAAGATCTTAACCCAAAACACCTCTGAAATCCAATGGCTTGCCCTTAATAATTAAATTAGTTAATAAAACACTGAAAATAAAGAATTTTTAAGGCTTAAATTACTTTAAAACCAATACTTAATTAACTGACATGATGAGTCCTTGTTTTCTCTTCCATACAAGCAGTAGCTCCAACACTGACAAGACATACTTCTTCTCTGTTCTATGACCACCAGATTTTTAATCTGACAGTGTAGACATAAATTTTGAAAGAATCTGCTTTCCTAACTTCCTTTCTTGGAGAACTCAGTAAGTCAAACACACCACAGTATGTGGCCTCATGATGACATACTTAAGAGGAAATAATCTCAATATTTAGTTGCCCTTATGAATAGTAAAATGATAAAAACAGCAAAAGCCTCCCCAAAATATTTTTTTCTCCTTTAAGTAAGGCTGATTCTGAAAGTGATTTGGAAGCACAGTCTGTTGTGCCCTCAAAAAACAAAAGGTACCTGATACAAGCCTTCTACACACTTTGCATGTTGACAACTGTTTCAGTGAAATGATAAATTAAGCATGACAGATAAAAATTTGAGCTAGTCTCTCAGGTCTCCTAGGAAGAGGAGCTTTGCACTGCTTGCTTAGTCTTCTGTATATCACCATGACAACCTTTCGTTTTAGGTTTCCTTGTTTAGATCCACATTAGGTCTCTGATAGGAATGAGTTAGCTGTTTATTAATTTCTGATTATTTGGCTGACTTAAAACAATTGGGACCTAACAATTAGGAAAATTTGGTTCCTGAACACTGAGACTTTTGCAGAGGTATTAGTTTTGGCTGGTTTTCTAGTTAGTGATCTTTTTTTCCAGCACTATAAGTTAACGAAGGTGCTGAATCTGGAATGTTCACTGCATACCTGAAAAAGAAATTATAATCCTTCTTAAGTTTCCGCTGTGGAACATTATCACCAGGATCAGAAGGGACAGAAAAGCAGAAACCTTTTTTTGCACTAAACAAAGAGCGTTCCTGGGAAAAGAGGTATTTAGGGCTAAACGCTGCAGTGAGGATTCAGGTACAAAGTTTAAGCCTTTCAAACACCACTGCTTCAACCTGGTCAGTAATGTCTCTGTAAACTTAAAAGTCCAGGGGGAGATTTTAGAAGTACCTACAATTAACAGGCCCTAAAAGGGCAAGAAGCCCAGAGTTGAACTCACTAGCAAAAACCTGGATGCATCTTCCTTAATCTTCCCACTGGTCAGCCCGGCAGGAACACACACTCACCTCACAGAAACCACAAGCAGGATCTATCACATGGTGGTTCCTATCACAAACCAGTGCTCGGCACATTCAGATGGGGAGAGGGGGCCTCCTCTGTCCTTTCCCTGACATGAATTAATTTCAGGAAGGGAACAGAACATAGTGCTCCCAACTCCAACACCACTTGTGCAGGAAAAGTGAATCTCATCTCAGCATCCGGCACCGGGAAAAGGCTGGGACACCTGGTACCTCCCTCTAGTGTGGACACCGGTGCTCTGCATCTCGGGGAGCTGAGCCCTTATTTTCTCCTGAGCTTCTTTTGCTTTCTGATGCAAGCAGAGAAAACCTATGATCTATGTTTTTCTCCTGCCAGCTAACCATTTATAGACTCCTAAATTTCCTCAGATGCTGTTCATAGGGAGCATTTAACTCGAAGCTAAAGGCAGTAGAACATTTCAAGCATGACAATGACAATCCTGTTTCCTTTTCTTATTCATTCCTACAAAATTTGTCTAAAAGGTAATGAGAAAAAGAGAGGGATCAGAACTCAGGAGATTTAAGTTTCATTCCTTTCCTCCAGATTTTGACCAAATCCTTGTTACCTTTACAATAATCAAGTTATTTTCTCTTTTGTCCAAGAAAAAAAAAATCTACTTGTTATAATCTAAGACTGATTTTGTTACTTACTGGCGATAGCTACCATCTATCATCTGTAGCAGTCACAGGCTAATCTTCATCCAGGTAGGGGAACCTTCTAGAAATCAATTTTTAGAGTGATGTTGACAACAGCTAAACACAAATTTATTAATGACAGACCACATATTGAAGATGACATGAGGTTGCTAACACACTATAATTCTATTTTTTCCGTATTTTTTAGTTAAAAATGAAAAACCCATAGTCTATCAATGTAGTAGATAAAAATGTAATGCATAAGGAAAAAGAATGCTCTTCTACAATTTTATGTATTGGCAAGTATGTCTTTCATGCTGGATCAATGTCTTCGTAGTCTCATTTAATCATGGAGTGTGTTGTAAATAAAACATATTATCTAATTATGTGATTATTTTTGTGGAAGTTCCTCTCTGCATGTCTGCGAGTAGAACTCTAAAAGAAAATATTATCTCAAATATTATTTTGGCATTATTCCTTAAATGGTATTGATATTATTTTAAAAGCTTAATAGTATACATGTATTTTTCCTGAGACAGACACCAGAAATAAGAGCAGGTAACATACCTTTATGTATTTTTTCAAAGAATCTACTACCATTTATTTCCATTCTCACAGTATTATCTGATTTCCTATCCTGATCTTCTTTTGTGTTTCTGATTTGTTTTCCTCTGTCATGGGTGTTTTCAATGGGCATATATGAATTTTGCTGGCTATGAGTTAATGAGGAATAGTTAAAATCAGGGTTTTTTCCTATCAGAAAAAAAACTCCATATTTTCACTGATATATATGTTGTTTAGAGAAAGAGATTTAGTCTGTTTGATATTGTCCATGAGAATAAACGTTTTCAAAACATAAAAGTTAATATTTCCTAGATGGAATGCATATTGAGGAAACCTACAAGTAGGTAGGCATACTTTAAATTCATTATTTATTAGTGCATAAACATCATACTAATATTTCCTGTATAATGTAATGGCAAATTCTGAATAGAAAGTAATTCTGAATTCCCCTCATAAGGTTATTAATGATACTGAATTGCTGACGAGCACCTTAAATTACATTCACATAATGTCATTCACATATTAGTTTAAATCTGGTTTATTAGGAAAGACTTGAATGTGTTAAGTTTTTGATCTCACAAGCATTTTGAGTCACTAGGACATGATTTCATGCAGTGATGAGTGACAACTAAGACTTAAAAGAGAAAAGAAAGTGGTTCTTTTCTAACCTCTGCAAATAAACTGCAGGTGTTATTTCTCACTTTACCACAAAGCTTCACAATGCTTCCGAAATTTCTGAATGGAAACTCAACATGTGAAATATGAGAGCAATAGGTTTTATATTTCAGCTTCTGTTACTTGGTCCTAATTACTTGGTCATTGCAGCAAATCTCAATGGAAGCAAAATTGCTGTAGAGCTCTGATCCACTTGGTTAGTTAAGACCTTACACGTGTATATCTTTCAGTGTATAAAGCATTTATTTTTCATTCTGCACTGAAGGAAAAGCTTTTCTGAGATCCTCAATGGCTTTTAGAATTGGAATTGAAATTGGATTGGATTTGATGAAAATTGATTTTTCATCCACCTATGTCCAATGAAGAAGTCTTGAGGTTGTCACTGTACTCAGCAGCACAAAGGTTTGTTCACCCAAGAGGTTCATGACATAGGGCCAAAAGCCAAATATCAGCTCCCTTCTGTCCCAAACCTAACCAAAAGTGACTGCTCTTTTAACACTCAATCTCATCTAAAATCATCAAGGAGTAAAATACTAGAGACCTCTGCCTGACAAATACTCCTCATAAGATCATTCTCTTAATCAGTGAGGTTTTTCTCATCCCTTAGAAAATTATACTAAGGCAACTCCAGCAAAAAGGTTAGTAAGATTACTCAGCATGTTCCTAAATCTAACTTTCCTCTGACGAATCTTGCTTCTGACAATCTATCA